TTTATCTCCATTGTAGTTCTCAGTGTAGAGTTGAAGATTGATTGATTGCCTAGTATTTGCATGACACGTGAATGTATGTATATATGTTTAAAAGTACTATTTAAAAGACAAACCTCTGTGTACTGTATTTTACTCGTGGGTTGTCTCAAAATAGTAGTCACCCTGTGCACACACTCCTGACAGATCTTTTTTTTTTTTGTCTCTTTGCTCCTTAAAAATGTTCTTTATGGGATGGTGCAATTCATTACATTTTGATTCTAAATGTTACCTAGCCTTTCAATTTAAGTTTTATGTCTTCTGGTAACATGCATCTTCCATCCCCTTTTGCTTCCTGGGGTAGAAATGGGAAGGCCTGGGGGAAAATAAAACCCTGTGTCGTCCCGTTCCCCCCCCCCCCCCCCCATTTTTTCCATTTTTCTTCCAAGCCTTCCTGGGGCCCATCAGTGATTTTCACTTTTGACTTTCACCTCCATCATGCCCAGCCACCATTCTGTTTTTGTCTTGGGACTCTTGAATCCTGCCTTTCCAGTAACGGGGGTCCCAGGCCAGCAGAAAAAACATAATTTTATTCCTCAACTTCTATTAAATTGGGTGCAGCAATTACAAACGAACTTTGTAGCGGTGAAAGCTCATTCCTCTCATCTTTCTGTTTCAGAGACATGTTTCAGGTAAATCTAATTCTGCAGACCTGACATACCCAGGGATCATTGAGTCCACCGAAGAATATAAATTTGTGGAGAGGCTGATACCACCTACCACAGTACCTGTACCTCCAAAACATGACCAGTATCCTACACCTTCGGGATGGAGGCCACCACAAGGTAAACGGGGCAAAATATTTCCAAATTTAATTTCCTTAATGTATAAGATTTGAAAAAGCGTTTTAGTAAATTTCTCTGAAAGGAAAATTGAACAAAATCAGGACTTCGTGGTAGAATAACTGTATTCATTATTAAAATTTTAAAAAAAACAGCTTCTTATAACTCAATTCTTCCCGACATACCACTGTTATAACTTCACATTTCACATTTTAAAAACATTTCTTCAATTAAGCATGTGCAAAATTAATAGTTCAGCAAGAGGCAGATAGATCTACCCTGGCCAGATTTTCTTACAAATTTTTGTATAAAAAGTCACCAGTCATATTTATTTTATGTCTCCGATTCTTTCACAGATCCTCCTCCTGATCTTTCCTACTTTGTACGACGATCACGCATGCACAATGTACCTGTGTACAGAGATACATCTCACCACGGATCCAGGAAGATGACTATTATCAGGAAAATTGAAGGAGACATCTGGGTAGGTTATAGCTTTCTCTATAGGCTGTTATATGTCTTGTGGCCGCTAGCAGAACTGCCAGCACATTCGGACAGTGAGGAGGTTGGGGAGGAACCTGGACCAGTCCTGGAGGCTGGGGAAGACTGGGGAGGGCTGTGTCGGAGGCAGAGAAGGGGCCAGGGCCGTCTGACAGTTTTCAGCTGCCTTCAGAGTCAGACATCAGTGAGGCAGAGGAAGAGCTGGAGCCTGTTCCCAGTGTGCGTATGTGCAGAGTGGCCAGACAAAGGGAAGAGCTAAAGAACAGGGGTCGACTTGGGAGTAAAGCCACAGGTGGACAATGAAGGGTCCCTCCCAGAGGAAATAAGAGGAGTGAAAGGGGAGTGGAGTTTGCAGGAGACCATTAGTTCGCTTAATTGGTTCATGGCTCCCCGAGACTCCTTGCCAAGTTTTGCAGATCTCGGCCTGTCAGCTCTCCAAGCCAGATAAGGTCTGTGACTGTAAATCCTCCCTTGAAAGACTGTTGGATGTGAATGAGGAAATCAATAAAAGGGGTTTTTGTCGGGACGAGGAGTTTGCTTCAGGCTCTTGGGAAGCCTCGGTCAGAACAATAAGAGCTGTTGACACCGTGTTAATTTTAATTCTTCAAATCTCTCTGGAGTCCTCCAGATCATGGTTGTCCCAAACGTGCTTTTTTGAAAGGTAGCTGAACTGCCCTTGTTTTTCTTTGAAGATGCTTTGCTTCTCCTCCAAGAAGCTTTTTTAGTTGTGATGAAGGTTCTTGGATGAGAGGCGAAACGTCTTCAAAGAGAAACAAAGTTCAGTTTCCTTTTGAAGAAGCACCTTTGGGACAACCATTATCTGGACGATTGAGAGCGCATGAGCAAAAGCGGCCTCCGGTTGTGCGAGTGGAGCTGCGCACACGAATGCAAGGGCCCACCACTTGCGCGGGTAGAGCTTCACATGGGCACGCTTGCTCATCGCTCACCTGCCCCAGTTTTGAACAGGCTGCAGCCCAGGGGTTGGGGACCCCCTTTGGGCGATTGCTTGGAGGCTGCAGTTGGTTCAGAGCACGGTGGCCTCCATACTAATTGGCACTCCCCAGGGGCAACTTGTCAGACTAGGGTT